ATTATTTGCAACTGAAGCCATGGTTGTTTGATTTAAATTGAGCCTTCTTTTTGAAACCCATTTCTTAACTTCATCAGAGATTACAGGTGAGATGGCGCATAATTCTTTAATTTGAAGTTCAATAGCACCATTCATAATTTTTTCCACAACCTCAGAAACTATTTTTGCCTTATTTGCAAATGCTGGTAATCCTTTGCTTAATCTGTCCTTCACAAAATCCCCGTCATTTGGAATAATATATGTAGGTTTCTTTGTTTGAGCTGAACCATCCTCACTCTTATTACTTTCTTCATCTCTATGAATCCTCCTTAAACTTCCATCCAATATATCACGCTGATCTTGAACATTATTATCTTCATCCACGTCCATAGCATCAATTTCCTCTATCATATCATTAATTGTAACTTTCTTCTTCTTCTTTAATTTGTTCAACATTTCCCCTTGATCCACAGCTTTCCCACTCCTTGTCTTCATTTCCACGCCATATAATTTAGTCCCAGCTCCAGCTTTAACTTCAGTACACTTCTTAGTAAATTCAGGTACAGACCATTCTTCTAAAACTCCACAATTAGTTTTTAATTCATGTACCTTATCCTTTCCTTCTTCTCTAGTTAAAATACTCGTGGGAATTACAGGTGGTACTACTGCTGTATTTGTTACAGGTGGATTGTTTACAGGTTGATTATTCTGCTGTTGTTGTTGCATATTATTACGTGCCATAGCATTTGCTTGATCTTCAGAGTACTTAATAACTTGTTGTCTAATTCCTTCATTAGCCTTCTTATACATCCTTTCATTACTTCTAGGTAAGAATAAACCATCCATTCTATCTTGAAGTAATCCAGCTTGCTTATCCTGAATAACCCATTTACACCTTCCCATACTATGTCCCTCCATGTTACAATAAGAACAAAATGGCATAGTATTCTGTTGAGGCATAAAGTTTTGATTATTAATGGCGGGAATTTGATTATTATTATTGGGTAAAGGATTATTAACAGGTCTATTATTATTATTGTTATTAAACCTGTTAAAATTTGAATTATTAGGCGCTCTGTTGGGTTGAAAGTTATTATTAAATTGTTGAGGCCTTGAGTTATTATTTGGCGGATATTGAACATTGTTCCTTTGATTTGGAACAACTTGTTGATGAATTTGATTCTGTAAAGCATTTGAAATTGGAATCTGAAAGTTATAAGAATTATTTAAAGGTAACTGTAAAGGATTTTGGACGTGATTTATTTGTAAATTCTTTAAATCAGTACATAATATTTCCATTTGTTGATTTGCTTTAGCCTGCATTCCCCCAATCTTTGCAACTTTACTACTAGTATCCTTTTGAATAACTTCACTTTTAACTCCAGCAATTTCATTCTTGATGGTATATTTCTCTTCTCCAATATCTTCAAATACCAAAAGCGCCTCTTCTTCAATATAATGATCAACCACCTTCTTTAATTTCTCTAAGTTAGGTAATTTATATCTTCCACTTGATACTTTCTTCATCATCTTCTTCTTAATCATCCTCTTCTTAAATTTCTTCTGAAGTTCATCTGAAAAAGCCTCATAGAAATATCTTGCTACTTCTTCATCACTTGAATCCACGTAATCATGTCTAGCCAAGTATTGATGAATTTTATCAAAGTTAATTCTAAATGTTTGATATTCACTTTTACACGTAACACCTCCATTTCTCATTGTTCTTTCAGATAAAGTTCTTAAGTGATCAATAGAATATCTTGGCTGTTCCGTGGTAGTCTGATATCTGGCAATTAATTGCTCCTTGACCTTCTTCCAACTCCATTCACCAACTCCCCAACCTTCCATATCACGTATTTCCTCCTTAAGTTCTTCTCCAACAACAAAACTGGTAATTTGCCTGACCATATCCAATTCTGAGGCGCCATTTGCTTCAGCTTGACTATGATAATTGATAATAAATTTCTTAACATTTCCTCCAACTTCAAATCTAACACTTGTATCAGAATTATCAATTTTCCGTGGTTTAACATGACTCCTACTTCTCTCATTTCCTTCTTCCTCTTCACTTTCTTCTGAAGTTGAGCTTGAATCATCACTTGAGCTGCTTGAGGCGCTTGAATCTCCATCACTTTCTTCTTCCTTAATAACCTCCTTCTTCCTACTTATCTTCTTTCCTTTTCCCTTCTTAACCACCTTAATAACTTCCTTAACTCTTTCCTTCTTCCCTTTTTCTTCCTTAAGTCTTATTAAATTAATTATATCCGCCATTTCTCTTTCTCTTCTTAAATAATGTTGTTGTTGATTAATAAACTGTTGTTGCCAATCAGGTTCTTCCTCGTGGTCTGAGGGTAATAATGTTTCTTGTTCTCTAAATCCAGTAAATGCTGAAGGTGGAATTGGATCCTCAGAAGTTGATTCTTCACGTTGTTTTCCACGTACAGTTGATCCTGAAGCAGGTCCTGGTGGTGGTGGTAAAGAGCCAGAGGGTAAAGATGTTGAATAATTCACAGGATTTTCTAAAGCATAAGTTCTACTACTACGTGGAGTTCTTTTATAATGAGAAGTTGGTGGTAATTCTAATTCTGAATCCCCTTCTTCTCCTCCTTCTTGATCATGAATTTGAATGATTGAAGACATGATATTGATTTTAATTATTATAAAATGATATTATAAAATAAAGAAAGAAACTCGAAATATTGATAATTTTGAAAGTTATAATGAATTAAAAGTGAATATATGCGTGGTTTTTAAGTTATATTCTTTCTTTTAAAGATTGATTATTGTTATTTAATATGTTATTAGTTGATATTGAATTTTATTAATTGAATTTTGTTGATATTTGTTGAATACAATTTTCTTTCAAAATGATGAATTGTATTATTATTAATTTGATTATTGATGATTTAATAATAAATTGTTGATGTTTTAAGATAATAATTAGGGAAATTATTAAATATAATTGACGGATGTTGCTTGTTTAAAGTAAAGAGCCCCAGTGGAGTCACCAATATGTAGTATTTAAAGCTCAACAAGAGCTTTACAACACCTAAGAAGGGATAATCTACTACGTGTAATATAGTAGAAGTTGCCTAAAGACTGCCTTCTTCAAAGAAACCAGCACAAGGGCATTTGCTGACCACTTTGTGATAACAGAGAAAAGGATAAAAGGCACCAGAGAAATAAAGCAATACTGTTGTTAAGTATTATTCCCAGATTTTAAGCGCAAAAAAGTCACACACTATGTTTATTACTAGCAATACTGTTGTAAGTATTATTCCCAATTAGACTTGTAGTCTTTAACACACGTAAATAAATTTCTCCTTGCTTTTGAAGGGGCGGATTTAAGTGATCTTAGTACAAATATAGTAAATAAATGATGATTTATAACACTACAACAAAGGTATAAGATGCAGAAAAGGGCGCTACAATCCCAAAATCATCAAGGAGTACTTATATCCACATGTAACAATCTTTACAACAGTCAACAGCCTCAAAAACCAATCAAATCCGCCTAAATAACCCTAAAAACCATGTAATGACGCAATGTAATGATCTTGTTACTAATGTATGATGTAATTTTCACAGCCAAAAGTGATCAATGACGCAATGATGTAATGTACAGCACTTCTTAAGATGAATACAGGTGATTTTTTCCTTGTAAACTAGCTGAAACCCAATTTTTGAGATTACAAATTTTTTCAGATGTGCTCCAATTTTTGATTACTAAAGTGCATCTTGTAGCCCACGTGTTACTGATCATTTCTGACACCTATAAGACCTATTTCTGATGAGTGATGAGTAAGATATTGAGTTGTGAAGTTAAGGTTTTTGGTGTTACATGTGTCTTGTGACTGTAAATTCGAGATTCACACCAATTTCTTATTTCCCTTATAACTTTTTACATACACCTCCGTTACTAATGATTCAAAGGTTGTACATTATGTAATCCACTCTTCTGCGTTGAATGAGCCATCTACCAACTTATTCTGACGTCATTTGACATATGTAATTAGCTGAAAACCTCCATTTTCGACGATTTTCACCTATTTTCTTCACTTTTCACAGCTGCTACTCCCTTTTCCTTGCTCATGTAATATGACATCATCTTCTATAACCTTAAAAATCCCGGAAAATCCTCTTGGCAACCTTAAATTCCATCACTACCACCATTACATATGTAAGCTACACGCCTAACCCTTGTTTACCAACTTCGAAAAAGTACCTTTCTGCTAATAACCTCTGTTTCCCCTTATCAACCTTGAATATTAAAATTGTTCCTGTATAATAAACTGTTGTTCTTTCATATTCTAACCTTATAAAACCCATAACTTAATTATAAATAAGCTAAAAACCATTTTCCAATTTTTACACCTATATTTTCGAATTTTTCTTATCTTTTCTTTTTCTGTCTTTTTGTAATAACTTTGTAAGTAAACTATGTTGATCTTAATAATAATTTTGAAATAAGATGACATAATAATGAGCTAATAAGTATACATAAGCCTCTAAGAGCTTCAATTGATCTGAAAACCTGAATTTCGAATTCTCTGCTATATTGAAGTTTGCTAATAAACTGGTAAAGTAAAGATGATTAATTTTTTTGCTTAATATCATAAATAGATCACCACAACGCGAACCTGGAAGATTTGTTTGAAAGCTTCTCCCACGCGGCTTGGAGTGCGAACCGACCGTAAGGGAACGCGTTGAGGCCCCATGACGCCCAGCCGAGAGTGCTTTGCCATGTCTTCAGTCGGTGTGACGGTCGTGCCGTGAAAGCTTGGATGTTCTCTATGAGTCCGGTCTTCTTTTCTGGCAAGAGTGTGAACGATAATTGGTCCGCGTCGACGTAGTGGCCAATAATCTCCAATTGCTTCCCATGCAACTGTTTCTTCCAGTCCCAAGGAAGGTTGATCGTGTTGAAGAGAAGGAGTAGCAGTGCCTGGTTGAGTGGCATTTCGACTGCTTTGAAGGTTGTCATAGAGTTTACGTGGGAAACCCCCCATGTATCGTCCATCAGGTTATTGATGCGATTGATTTTCAGGCGATGCTTTGCGATCCATAGTACTAGCAAAAAAAAAGAACACCACAGTTTAGGCGAGGCAGCTGAACCGAAGTTCGCGCACCTATCGGCGTAATAAAACTCGCCAATCTTCACGATTTGTCTTAGTTGCCATTGGGGGTGCATTCCCAGGTTTCTGTATGCTCTTGCTACGTCGGTCTTCCATAGTATGAGCTTCAATACTGCGTCGTGGATTTGCCTCATGTATGGCCCGAAAGACGAAAGTGAGTCGTACTGAACTCTTGCTTTTTCCTTGTCTACTAAGTCGTTCAGGGAGGGCTGACCGTAACTCATGTCGGTACACAGTCGTAATTTTGATGATCCCGCTTTTGCGGCTAGAAGCAGCGGCGATACTTTCATTCCTGGCAGTAGCGTGTAAATTCTTGGCGAGTACCTGCCTGCTGCCGTTTCTTTGGCTAGTGCTGCTTCTAGTACTTCCGGGTGATTGTCGCATACTGAGTGGTTGGGATGGTCGACGATGTTGTTGTTCGGGAGTTCCGCTAATGGCCAAAATCCGTGTGCCAGCCCACGAACCACCGAATTGACAAATGGACGGTTCGGATGGTCTTTGAGTAGGTGGCAGAACATTCGGACGTCAACTGGGCATACTACTTTGAAGATGTCTGGGTACTGTTTGATGGCGTATGCGGCGCATGGGTCGTTTGACAGCGGTGGTGGATCTGGTAGCGGTTTGGCTGTCAGGCTATCGTTGATGGCGGCTGAGTATCCTCGTGGGTGAGTCCAGTCCCATTCCAGACCTCTACGAAACTTCCTCTGTGCTGTGTTTGCTGCTAGAGAGCTGATGGTGTGCACAGAGCCCGTGCAAGATGCGGTAAGGGAACGTCAGCTTTCTAGTTGGTCTGTGTGGAAACATGGATCATGTTTTGAGCGCTAGCTGTCGCAGGCTTCCTCTGCTCTTGTTGAGCGTGCGTGCGTGGGATGTAAGGGGAAACTTATGTGGAAAAAGCGTCTTACTCAGTGAGGTCGGAGTTGAGCTCGTCAAAGACCGATGTCGATATTGGTTGGAGCCAATCATCGGGTCTGGCCGTAGTGTTGCTTACGCATGTGCGACTGTTTGCAGTCGACGACGTTGCAAAGGTTGTGGATCCTTCCGTTTTTGCAGGGGTCGGGACAAAACCCATTGTTCCAGCTACCGCAAATCTGCTGATTTGTCGGAGTGCCTTTAGCAACTGTGTAGGAGCGGTCAAATTTTTGTTTTTTGTTGTCAGCTTGGTGCTGTTTGTCTGTTGAAGCGTTGTAGCTTGGATTGCAGATAGATGGGGAAGTGGTTTGTCTCACTCTGCTTGATGCAGCCCGACCAGATGGCCTTTGGCGCCGACGACTGATTGGGTCGTCGCCGGCTCCCGTTTGAGAACGCCTTGTTGGCTGATGCGTTCGGTGCGCTAGGATATGATGCTCGCTGAAACACCTGGGACCCTGAGGATGCCGTATACGAAGAGGTTTGTTGGTGGGTAGGATCTGAGGTCGAGCTAGCTGGTAGATTCGGTTGATGGCTGAACTGCTGCGTTTGTGGTTGAAACCCTGCTGTTGTCGCCATTGACCTGATGTGTGCGAGTTCGTAGCCGTTGAAGTCGCCGAATGTGAGTGCTGGTCTGGTGGCGATTGTAATCCTAAGTCTGGCGTCATAGTCAACGACATGTGACCAGTCGCCTTGGCTTGCAAAGAGGTTCGCCATTTCGAAGACGTGGGTGAAGTACGCTCGGATTTCTGACTTTCCTTTTGGGAAAGCGAAGATGAGGCCGTTGCTGATGATTTCGATAACCCTTCGCCATTCCCTTTCGAGGGGGAAACGATGTCTGACAGAGACAAAATTGTCTGTTGGTCTGGGCAGTTTCTTGGCGTCGTATTCGTCGGGTCGGAGGATTTTTGCTGGGCATAAGTAGTACCCGCGCAGGAGCACTTGCACCATCGCATATGGGAAACCAATAGGCCGGCGTATGTTGGCATTGAACATCTCAGCCGAGACGGTGAAACCCACCTTTTTGTATGTGCCGATGGCGTCGAGGTACTCTTGGGCTTTTGGTGGAATAGTGGGGCCCGAACCGTCTTCGTCTGTTGCGAAAGGTAGGGATTTTGCCAACTCTGCCGTCGAGCTGCTGATTGAGACGGATGAGGCGATCGAGTCGTCTGATACATACCCGACGTCTCGTCGGCGTCGTTTGCTAGAGGAGGACTCCTTTCTCTTGCTTTTTCGTCGTTTTGAGCTCGCTGCTGCTGGGTCTGTTCCTTCCGCGAGGTCCTCTTCTTGTAGTCCCAGCGGGTTGTTCTCCTTGCGAAGAGCGTGTACGGCATTGATGGCCGTGTTCTGACCGGGCGGACGTTGGGCGGGCTGTTGCTGTTGTTGCAATTGTCCGTCGTTTTGCTGTGGCTCGTTTTGCTGTTGCTGGTTTTCGAAAAGTTGGCGTGTTTGATGCACATAGCCCTGGAGCAGGCCTGGTGGTAGGATGTAAGCGGGGGTGTACTGCAAAGGAAAGTGCGGTGGTGGTAGGACTCCTCCCACTTGGTAAGTCTGCCTTCCTTGCTCGAGGTCAATTTCGCAGGCTGAGAGCCCGAAATCTGAGAACTTATGCAGGAAGTAAGGGTCGTCGTATGGCACGATCGCTGCGAACCTGTCCCGTAGCGTGAGTATGTCGCACGTAGAACTGCCGCCTGTTTGGCTGAACTCCTGCAGAAGCTGAGCCAGGCGTTGTTGAGTTGTATTGGCATCTTGGTTGAATGTGTTGATATTTGCCATTCACTTTTGTAGAGGTGCGTGGAATGCCGGTGAATCTGGTATAGAGAGATGTCGGATAAACAAAGTTTCAGAGAGGTGTATCAAAATAAGGTTTTAGATTGGAGCTAAAAAACAAGGGAATTTTTTTTCTGGTTGTGGGGTAACTTGATCTGGACAATCGTGAAACCTGTCGATCTGTTGCTGATAAGTTTCTACAATTCTTAGTAGGAGGGAGAGAAACTGTTTTGTGATAAGACTTTCTTGGATCTTGATGTCTCAGATTGTCGACTCCTAAGATTTTGTTCGTAGGCTGTTGTTCTGGAGGGAAGAATCAGGCCTACTGTGCTGAGCGGTTAGTTTGGATACTCGCGGCTCCTTGGCCAACAGAAATAAAAAACAAAAAACACGTCTTTCGAAAAAAATCATTCAAAGGACAATCACCAAATGGCTACCGGAATGTCTAGGATCTGGATTCAACAAACACCATGATCTCAAACAGCCTTGAAGATCACCCCAGATCATCTACCTACTTATGTAAACTTGGATGAATCAGACTGATGATGATCCCATCAAAATACTCATCCATGAACTTGTATGAAAATTGACTCATTTGGCAGTCAGTTTTCATAACCCTTAAGCTTATATACTGAACATGTACTACATAGTTATAGCTGAAGACCTTGCTGTGCATTAACCTATTGACTGTGTGCATAGGTGGTACTTACGGTTGCAGAAATCTTCACGATAATTAAGAATGATTATCAATGAAAGAAGAGATAGATAAACAAAGAAAAGTAAAAGGATATTACTCAATTTTGATAACACAATTCAACCATTGTTTTCTGTGTTTCAATGACACCAAAAGACATGTGCTTATGGGGCAGTTTGAACATTGAAGGTATCTTGTTTATTAATGTCAAACAAACCTTTGCAATCAATTCAAAATTCAATTCACATTACTTTAAGGATTTGCTTTCATGATAAATAACATTGCATTCAAGGAAATAAATTAGAAAAAAAGAAAAAAAAAACAGAAAAAAGAAATGTCCAAAGAAACAAAAACCAAACCAATTTTACTAAAGATGCCAAAAAAAAACTGATCAATTGTAAAACAAAAGCACTACCAAAAAATAGTCTCATGGGGCAAACAAAATTCAAAAGAAACACACACACACACACACACACAGATACTCAAAACCAAACTTATTCTTCTTTTTCTACAACACCCACTTCATCAACTACACCTAATTCACATAACATCTTTCTAAAACTTCCAATCCTTTCCAAAGAAAATGATAAATAATCAAATTCTAAATCACTTAAACCTTTCCCTTCTTCTATTTGATCTTCATCTTCTTCTGATTTCCATTTCTCCATCCTATCTTTAATATCATCTTGAGCTTGTACTAAACCCCAGAGTGACCACATCACATGACTAGCCGGACTCCAAATCTTGACTTCTTCTTCTAATTTCTTGATCCGTTCTTCTTCTGCTTGGTTGTCTTCTGGTAAATTTCCATCTAGACTTAAATGTGTGATTCGTTCGGTACTTAAGTATGCTTTGTAAAACGTTTTGCGTTCGGTTTCCGTCGGATAGTTTCCGTGTTCACTTAATGAATATGATAAAGTTGGATGATGATAATCTGCACACCATTCATGAAAATGATTGGCTTGGTTACATTTCAACTTTTAGTTAGTTCTTCATTCATTTCATTTGTGAAAGCTTAAACCGATAGAAGATTCAATTCTCTTACCAATATCAAATGCCCGTGGGTTTGCAGATGCGTACTCAAACTATGAGAAGAGAAGAGAGTTTGGTTTCAAAAGATTGTCGCGTTGATGTGAAATTGAAACTATAACAAAAAAAAACCTACATCAATCACCAAGATTTGTTCATGTGCACGTTCCTTTACAGATACTTCATCAAGTTGTCTCAGTAACAAATTCCCGCACCTAAAAAGATATCACCTCATCTCTAAATTAATAAACAGGTCATTAGAAACAAAAAAAAAAGGAAAGCTTTCTTACTGCGTATCATTATGACTAAAAACTCTTAAACTCTTTCCATTGAGTTTTTCTGATTTTCTAACCCAATTCCGATAAGCTTTTGTTTCTCTAATCAACCTAGGTAAATCAAAATCATCAACGAATTCAACGAGTGTTTTCAATGAAGAAAGAGGTAATTCAGTTTTATGATTCCTAGACTTTGAAGCACGTGGTGTATTGTTGATGATATCAAGTTGATGATGATCGCGTGAGAATTTATGAATTTGTTGTACCACTTTCTCAGCTTCTCTTTGCCATCTGATGATATTTTCCCATGCTCCTACTTTGATTTTATCTGATTTCATTAAACTGTTCGTACTACTTGATCTTGAACTATCTTTTGAATGTTTTTTCCGTATGAAATAAGGGTCACGTGAGAAAGTTGATAAAGGAGATGGTAGTACAGTAGGATAAGTACCAGGTGAAGAGATTGCCAACCGATCTGTGAAGGGTAATTGGACTGATGAAACATCAGATCCGGATGAATAACTTGATGACCAACTCATCGAAGTTTGTTGAGAAGATAATGGACCTGGTTGAGGTGGACCTGAAGAGATTAGAATCGACTTTTGTGAAATGGCTTGTCGGTTTAAACTTTGGGATCTTGGAAAAATTGATCGGTTCGAAAGTGTACTAGAGGATCTTTCTTCATCTCTTCTTGATATGATCCTTAGATCTACTGAATGTAATTCTTTCATTCGATATGCTATCCATCGACTTATTTTTGGATCTCGGATTTCTTCCTTCGTTAATGGTCTCGACTCGAAATATTCTTCTACTCTTCCATTATGAAATGTTCCAAGTACTAAGGGTGCAATACTGTATTGAACTGATAAAGTATGGAGTAAATGAAGTTCATGTTTTCGTGAAATGAGTGAACCAGATGATGGACCATAGATTCGAAGTAAAACTGTAGGTGGTGGTGTGTATGGCGAACTTGAATTTGAGTCTTTGAGATCATTAACTTTCGAATTTGATTCACTGGATTCAGAGTTGATAGGACAAGAAACAAAAAAGACGGCATTGGTAAGACTTCCTCCAACTTTATAAATCGAGATGGATGATTGAGCTGAATCAGGTAAAGTGTTCCATCCGTGTAATTTTAATTCAAATTGAAGCATTTTAAACACCGATTGAGCGAATTCATTAGATCGATGATGTCTGAAGAAAAGAATCAAGTTAGTTGATATTTTCATGATGAATGAATGAATGTTGAAGATGTTTACCTAGCAATCAAGTTGGTTTCACATCTTGGTACACCTTCAGCATGAACTGAATGAGAAGTATAATCTTCTGGTTCGTCTTCTTCATCGTCATCGTCATCATCAATTTCAGTTAAATGATCATCCTTATCAGGATTTGTATAAGTAGTAGGTTGAAGTTCAAAGGTAGTAGTGGTAGTGGTTGAAGTGGAACTAGGAGGTAAATCCACTTGAACGGTTGACATCTTTCTTGGTTGGTTTGTTTGATGATGACGACTAAAATTTATAAAATGTGGTGAGAGTCAGAGCTTGATAAAGTGAAATTCAATAACAAACTGTTGTTTAAATGCTGTTTCTTATCATCATTTTTTCATTTTCATTTTAATCTTCTTCATCATCTCCTTCCCTATATGCTAACCAATTCGTCTGATCGCCTTCCTCATGACTCTGAGCATCTGATGAAACATTCCATCAATCATTCTTTGCCAATCATACGCCAGGCCGGGTTGGTATACCTCCGATGGTTATTATATAAGTTGACCCTTTGAGTCGATGCTCTCCTAATCAGTGGCGAATTAATCTTTATCCATCTTGATCGCTTCACCCACACTCCTTCTTAACACAAGAGCAAAATTTATTGAGCTGAGCTATTTTCAACTATGTATAGGGCAACGCTGATCATATGAAGGAAATGTTAATGATGTGGCATCTAGCCAAGTGAATGTTTTTGTATATAAAAAAAATCCATCTACACAAAAAAACTTGAAATTTTGATTGGAATACAGCCGTTGTATTATCTACTGTTAGCTTAACAAAGCCCTCTCTGCGCGGCCGCGTCCGCGCCCTCGCAGAGGGGCTTAGGACTAAAAGTGAAATTCTGGCGTGAACACTCCACGCACTAAGTCTCGTTATGTAGTTTTTCCCACTTTGCCACTTCCCTCACAAGCAAATCACACTTTACCTTGCCGGCAAAGTTGTTCAGATTTGTTTTCTACATGTGCTCGTAGCCTAACTTCATCGGCACTCTCAGTGATGCGGATGCAAAAGGGGTTTGCAGCTTTTTACTAATCCCGCCTGTACAGTGGTCTTTTTGGCAACTTTTTTGTCCCCAATTTCTGCCTTCGACAGAAACCCTCAATTTGGTTTCACCTACCATAGCGAGCCATAGCACTCTTAGGTACCTTGTAGTCCTGGATGCTCAGCAAGCTTATTCGCGTCCAAATATCTAATTATCCGCGTTGACGTTCGCCTGGCTACGTCGAATTATTGTTGGTTGAATCAGAGATGTGGTCCTCTTGAGAGGTTGAGATGATATCAGAAAGATTGTATAGGTATTAATGAACTTAGATGCGATGGTGAAACCGTAAGTACATTAGGAAGGATAAGGCAGAATACCTTTTGGACTTTCAGACATCATGATTTCCTCTAAAATCACGTACAGTGGGAATACAAGCTGTACACCGTGTTACTAGTTGGACATAAGGCCTTGTAAGCCAATATCAAAATCAGGATGATGCAGCAGGGTTTCTGGTCTGATAAGGAGGCAAACACATGTAGAAAACAAATCTGAACAACTTTGCCGGCAAGGTAAAGTGTGATTTGCTTGTGAGGGAAGTGGCAAAGTGGGAAAAACTACATAACGAGACTTAGTGCGTGGAGTGTTCACGCCAGAATTTCACTTTTAGTCCTAAGCCCCTCTGCGAGGGCGCGGACGCGGCCGCGCAGAGAGGGCTTTGTTAAGCTAATATCTACTGGCAGATTTTTGAAAAGTTGTGTCGTCGCCAGATTTAACTTTTGAAGTCAAATAGTTGTTGGTAAACTCGTTTATTAACGGATGGGAATGTGGATTAAGTTGGACGGTACTATTACAGGTTGTCCGACGGGTCGGTCTTTCTTTTCATTCAAAGTGAGGTTTTCAGCTATGATGTCATAGTCTGTTTACCACATCCTTCCAACTTATCATATATTCCCATCGCAGTCACAATCGTCGTTTCTCTCATCCTGAGTTTATCGATTGTCTTTTTTGACGTTTTCATTGCTATTGATAGTGAAAGTTTCTATCAAATCTCTCTTAAAAACCTTTTATCAAAAAACAGTTTATCTTAAAAACCGTTTTTGATTCATTTCATTTCTTTCTATGAGCGAGAACGGAAGCTTTGACTATGAAGCTGCCGCTTTGGTTACCGAGAAGCTCACCGCCCTTGCTACCAATTATGAATCGGCAGGCGGTTCTAACAGCAAGTCGATGTCTCAAGTTCGATCATTATTCGCTGAGATCGTGCCTTTTACCTCAAAAAATTGGTACAGACAGTGGTCTAAATTTGCGTCAGATCTTATCGCAAAAGATAAGGCCGCCGCTCGTCCCATCTATTCAAATGAGGGTCCTGCTCCTCCTGTTCCAATTTTATCCAACGATGATCAGGTCTATGTTTTTGACCTCAACGACAATCCAATCTTTCCGCCCAACAGTTCCAACAACCGGCAAAAATCTAAATCTCCTGCGCGCAGCCGTCGCAATGAGGAAATTCAAATGCTTACTCAGGAACAGATCAACAATGCTCAAAAAGCTCTTGATCTTTTGGAGGGTCAACGTCTTCGTTCTAAATCCCCGTCTCCCTTTGTTGTCAAAGAGAAAAGAAAAGAAAAAGGCATTGAGGATGACTCTGCCTCCGAGGATGAAGTTTTGGACAAGAAGACTAAGAAGATCAAAAAAGCTTGGGAATGGATCGAGAGAGTTGACTCCGGTCCATCAGCTTCGGAAAATTATTCTGAAAGCGCCATTCCGTTCGCAAAAGCGGTCAGAGGTTATGCACCCCACTTGGCCAAAGCCGTGGAAGGTTTTATTAACAGAGTCAAACCTCCCAATTTTCCTTCAAACTTATGTAAAGAATTATTGCAAGGAAAGTTTATTGACTTACGAAGGATCAAAGGTGAATTCATTGCCAAAAAGAAGGGTATTGCTTCGAATCTTATGGTCACTGGCAAAGATAAGGATTTGGAAATTCAAAATAAAACAGTGGCTTCAAACCTTATGGATTCCCAAGAATGGTTTTTCTATTTCGAAATACTGCAACAAGGATATCAAGAGGCCTTTCCGTTCAGTCATCAATACTTTCTTAGTTACGCAAAGTTTATCAAGGAGGAATTTATGTCAGAAGGAGCTAGAGCAGATTGGATATGCGTCGCTAACTTTGACGCAGCTCTCCGTAGCCAGTTTGCTACCAGACGGGATATTTCGTTTGCAGATTGGAATCACCCCAGCCTTGGCACTATCAGAACTCGACACATGTCGAGAGCATTTGACGAAAAACCAGCTGTGGCTTCTTCGTCTTCTCATCCGGCTCCTCAAAATGCTCATCAGTGTCCTCGTCCAAACAGCCATTATCAAGCGAGTTCTTCTAGAATTCATCACTCGCCTAATTACTACGACTCCTCTTACAAACATAAAGGTATATTTGAAGTGGAAGAAGCTTCCAACACTACAAAGTTGGCGGAACAATTTTGTTTCGCGCATAACTTACCGGGCAGGGGTTGCCCTTTGGGTAAACCGAAATGTCCTCGCATCCACCGTTGTGTTGGTTTGATATATTTTATTTTGTTGTTTGATCTATTTCACTAGTTATTTTCAAAAAATTGGTTCTGACTCGTGATATTTCTTCACACTACAAGAAAGATAATATTTTCTGGGCAGAAAATTAAATTATTGATACACAAAAATATTGAGAGGCCAGGAGGAGAGCAAAAAATGAATAAAAATATGCATCTTGTTCCCTGCGTTGAGAACTTCACTCTGCATATTTTTCCGTATTTTTACAGTCCATATTGATAAGTGTACTAACAATAAACCTTCACAATCATCCAATTACAACCTGTAACAAGCACTGAAATTTGGCTCATTAGTGTTTAGAGAAACTTTTGATTTCTGAAAATACTCATAACTTTTTCAATTCCGGTCCAAAACGCTCGATTTTGGGTGCATTGGTAAGCTGGAATTGTCCTCCAAATAGTTCATAATGGGACCACACAGCATGCTGGTCTGCTAAAAAAGATATCATCTTTTTTATACATTTGTACATACAGATCCATAGAATGATTGTCATACTAGCTACATAGTTCTTGATCTTATGAAAGTTCGAGAGGAAGAGTTCAGCTTTCTAATGCACTTAAAATCGAGTGTTTTGAGGCGGATTTGAGAAGCTATAGGTGTTTTCAGAAATCAAAAGTTTCTCTAAACACTAATGAGCCAAATTTCAGTGCTTGTTACAGGTTGTAATTGGATGATTATGAAGGTTTATTGTTAGTACACTTATCAATACGGACTGTAAAAATATGGAAAAATATGGAGAGTGAAGCTCTCACCGCAGGGAACAAGATGCATATTTTTATTTATTTTTTGCCCTTCTCCTGGCCTCTCAATATTTTTGTGTATCAATAATTTAATTTTCTGCCCAGAAAATATTATATTTTGTGTAGTGTCAGAACATTAAAGGGTGTAGAAAGGATCACAGAGGATGTGATCACATCTGATTTAGGAGGTCCTCAAGAACCCTGTGGTAGTAATACTATCGTGGGGTTGGTATTTTACAATTTTCTTTTTCGTAAAAGTTTGTGAATAAGATTATCTGACGTTTGAGTTTTTCTAGTTTACCATTAGATTTAGATGGCGCTGAGCCTAATTCCGAAGACACTCCTATTCCAAAATTTCTTCGAGGTTACGTTTGGAATGAAATGAATCCTTCCGGTTACTCACCAGCGATTCAATCCAGTTTTTTCGCAAACCCTTTTCCCGACGCTCCGCCTCTTGCTGAAGATGTCGACGCAGCTTTCGCATTAGAACAATTTCCTTTTCTCTTCAAAATAATCACTCCTTTTAACGTGGACAAGATGGAGACCCTTCTCGCCACACATCCGAATCGTGCATTTGTAGATTCAGCGTTGAAAGGCCTTTGCTTTGGATTTTGGCCGTGCTCTTCAATTCCCGACCACACTATTGTCGACGGTCCTAATCATAGTTCTTGCTCGCAATTTCAAGACATTCTCAATGCCCAATGTGAAGAGGAGGTTGCTAAAGGAAGGTATTCAGAAGAATTTACGGTTAATTGACATGGAGGAAGAATTCGGTGAAGTGATGTTATTTAAATCAGATGTTGAAAATGCTTTTAGAACAATTCCGATACATGTTCAATATCAAATTTGTCAAGTTTTAAAGATCAGAGGTAATAAGAAGAGGATCGACCACAACATG